TGAGCATTAAAGGAGGGACGTTTTCAGCACCAGCTGATGGCTAAATTGTAATTTAATTTTTTTTCAGAGGGTTTGTGGTGTTTGCAGCACCTCAGAGACAATAAAACACTGATTTTCACATCATTTCTTCCCTCAGTCTCGTGGCTGAGCAACTGCAACACAGGAATCGATTCCTTAAAAATCTTAATATTTGAGTGAAAAATGCCCCAAATTTGGGGTTTTCTGCTAACAGCAGTCATTTTCCTATAGATGCTGCCTTCCTGCATGTTTTCTGGGCTATATAATATTTCAAAATAGCAGAAAACAAACGCTTTTTCTCTGAGATTTGCTGATTTTTTTTGGTCTGGTTTTGCTAAGATTTAAAAGTGAAATGTCCGTTGAGTCTCCCAGACCCGTTTACACTGGGTTTTTTTGTGATAATTATAATTTTAATCACATTTTGGGTCACTTAGAGAGATGATCTCAAACCTTTCTTCCTCCCTTTGGGCTGACTTTGTAGAGCATCAGCTCTTACTGACTTGCATTTGGCCACAACATTTATCAGCATCAATCCTGGGGTACCAAAATAATTCTCTGTAGTCCAGTTTTTATGCAAAATAATGTGGGTTTTGTTGCTTCAGTACCTATTTGATGGTTCTTCAGTAACAAGTGATTTTTTTTTAATGTCTTTAATTGTGTTTTATTGTATTCAGCACATGGGTAATAGTCAGGATCTTTTTGGAGCGTCTCTAGGTCTCACTTTGACAGAGGAGAGAGGAGTCCTGGGATGGACCAGGCTGTGAAATGGATGGAAATTAGGGTTTTATTCCAATTAGGTCATGATTTGAACTGAATATAACAAAATATGCTCAGTTTGGTTGCACACTGTTGGTGGAGAAGCCTCTTTGCTTGGCCACGTTGTCACGAGAGTGGGAAATTTGGAATCAGAGTTGTCCCTTCGGAGCAAATCCAGAGGAGGCCCCGGAGCTGCTCCAAGAGCTGGAGCCCTTGTGCTCTGGAGCCAGGCTGGGAGAGCTGGGAATGTTCCCCTGGAGAAGAGAAGGCTCCAGGGAGAGCTGAGAGCCCCTGGCAGGGCCTAAAGGGGCTCCAGGAGAGCTGGAGAGGGACTGGGGACAAGGGATGGAGGGACAGGACACAGGGAGTGGCTTCCCACTGCCAGAGGGCAGGGATAGGTGGGATATTGGGAAGGAATTGCTGGCTGGGAGGGTGGGGAGGGGCTGGAATGGATTTCCCAGAGAAGCTGTGGCTGCCCCTGGATCCCTGGAAGTGTCCAAGGCCAGGATGGAGCAACCTGGGAGAGTGGAAAGTGTCAAGATTGGAACCAGATGATTTTTGTGTTCCCTCCCAACCCAAACCTTTCCACGATTCTCTGATTCTGTTGAACCTCTCCCCAAATTCCCACTGTTGAGGTGGGAAGGCTTTCTGGGTGGGAAATGGACAATGTGGGATCTTCCACGTGTCTCTCTCCCTTCCAGAACCTGTAGCCTCAGGTATTTTATCCCTGATTTCCTTGAGTCCCAACAACCAGTTGGGAATTTTTTCCGTTCTGGCAGTAACCAGGATCCATTTCAAAGGATTTCTGATGCTTCCTTAATATTTCTTTCCTCACCAAAAGGTCACTTGGCTGTTTTATGCCTAAGACAGAGGGAAGGGAACCCTTCAGGATCACACAAAACTGAAATGTAAATTTGGGCCGAGCGTCAGGAAAAAAAAAAATCCCCTTAATAAGGCTTTGGAATATTCTTTTTTATTTTATTTTCCTGTCATTCACTCGTTGGAAGAGGGAATTTCAGATAAAATTATCATCATCATTAAGGAGAGGGAGTGGTTGATGTCCTGCACCTTCAGCGACACGTCTTCGGTGCCTTTTAATGATGTTTTAGAAGGCATCTGATAACGAGGAGACAGAAGAAAGCAAGACTTGGAGGTTTCTAAATCAATCCATTCAGCTTTTTTTTTTAGGTTTAATGCTTTTTATTCCCCACTTCCAGCCTAGGTAAGACAGTCCTCACAGCCAATTAAGTTGTGAGTTGGAATGAATTAAATTTTCTGCAACGATGGGCTTGGTTGTTTTTTTTTTCCCCTTTTTTCATCCAAATGACTGTCATTTACCCAAAGACACTTCATTTTCCTGGAATTGTCTGAGGGGAGTGCTTAATTGCAGCCACAAATCACCTCCAATGCTTTTCTAGGAGGAGAAAACAAGTTCAGAATGGTGCCTCCTTTTGGAAAATGCAGGTTCTGAATTCAGGATAAGATGCAGATTTCCATATTTTTATATTTTTTTTCCCCCCGACTGCTCTTTTCAAGAATTCCTCCCTCATGTGACATCTCGGTGTCCTTCGGAGTGGTGCCATTCCTGGAGGCTTTTTGAGGATTCCGGGTGATTCCCAGGGATATCTCCAGCAACCATGATCCAAAATCTTCCTCTGCAAGGGATATTTGTGCATTTTTTGGGTGTGACAGATTTGGTGGTTCTGAAAAGAGGCTGGAAGAGCTGGGAATGTTCCCCTGGAGAAGAGAAGGCTCCAGGGAGAGCTGAGAGCCCCTTGCAGGGCCTAAAGGGGCTCTAA